CGCAGAACACAGAAATAAAAGTCAGAAGTCAAACTGAAAATAATTATTTTAATTTCCAAACTGAAATTATTTATTTGCTGTTATCATCCAGTTTCTTTTTTTTTTTTTTTCCTTTAGTTTTATTCTGCTTTTCTTCTATAGCCAATAATTATTATTTTTCTTTTCTTTTTTTGAACAAAATATTAAACAGCTTTTTACAATTATTCTTATGTAGAAGAAAATTTAGCTAAAAAAACAATGAGGAGAAATGTTAACTCTCAGGTTCTCTAATCGACAAACTCAACAGTAACTTTACTGTTCATCGATCTTTTACGCTTGTTAGCATTAAGAACTCCTTAACTTCATAAGTATTACTCAAAATTCCTCTATTTCTGTAAAAATCCATTCGTTATCCAGCTTTTTTTTTTTGCTACTCATCCTTCTGTTTAATATTATTTTTTTTTAAAATTATACGTTGATTAAAATCTTTACAGTTAAGCAACTTCTCAAAAGTTCTTCTTATTTCAGTATACTGTGTGTTATCTTTTTCTAAAAACTACTTCTTTAGTGGTCCGTTAATATATCACTTACTGTACGATTATTACAACTACATTGGCCAAAAAAAAAATTTTCATGTTTTTCCTTTCTCTCCCCTTTGCCCCCGTTCTCTCCAGTTTTGTTACACTGCCATAAACTACACTCATACTACAACCCACCAACACACCCCAGTCTTAAAAACGTAACAGTAATATATACATATAAGATATATATCTATTTGTATAGATTACTGCTACTACTGGAGGGCTTAACGGGTTGGAGATAGACAGAAAAAAAAAGCCAAAATAGTTAAAGTGGCACTGAACCAGCAACGGTGACGAGATTGAAATGCGCCACACAGGCGACATACTGTCCGGCCGCACAGAGCCACTAAACGATTAGCAGACAGAAAGATGATTGGCCAAAATGCAGTGGCCACTAAGTGAAAAATAGCACGCCAATACATCAGTGTAAAATTGGTATTTGTATATGTTAATTGGTAACGGATAAAGAAAATAAGTTTATTAGAAAAGAGACTGATTAATGGTTATAGCAGCAGGGATAAAAACAAAGTTTAAAACGTAAGAAATATATGTTAAAGAGAAAGAGGGTGAAAAAGAAATGTATTATATGTATGTTTATATGCATAATGGCGAACGTTTTTTGCTGCTGCTCCTGCTGTTGCTGCTGCTGCTGCTGCTGCTGCTTAATGGCTTTCCGTAACGCTGTTGCTGTTGCTGTTGCTGCTGCTGACGTTGTTTGTCCGTACGGTTTCGCTAATGCCGTTGCTTGTTGATGCTGATGTCGATGTTGCAGATGCCGCTGAGATGGTGCCAGTACTGCTGATGTTCTCTATTTGTCTTTTTGGTTTCATCGGCGGAGTTCACCGGTTTTTTTTTTTTTTTTTTCTTTCTTCTTGGTTCCACATTTTTGTGCCCCAGTTGCAAACTGAAGTTTTGTGGTGGATGTAAAATTTTTTTGATGCGTGCGTGCGTGTTTGCGTGTGTGTGTGTGTGTGTGTGTGTATGTGTATGTGTGCGTATTTTTGTTTTCTTTTGTGTCTTTGGTTCATTCATCCGTTTGCTCATTCATTCATTTATTCATTGATTCATTCGTTCAGTTTTTTTACTTCTTTTTCTTGAGAAGAAAAAAAAAAAAAATTGGGAAAAAAAATTGGTAATAATAAAAAGTTCTTTCATTTTTTTTTTTATTTAGCTAAACTTTTTTTTTTTCTTTCAGCTTGCTTTTCTTGTTTATTCGCTTTCCGTTTACCCTATCTGCAGCTTATTTTCATTGAATTTTACTGCATTGAGTTATTGTTTTTTATTTTTTGTTTTTTATAAGCAAAAGTTAACAAAACGGATAAGGTTAATGTGCAGCATCGTTTCTTACGGTTCCATCTACAGGAAAAAGGTTTTTTTTGTTGTTAAGAAATTTTGAAGGGAAAAAAATGTTAACATAGTGTTTAAAGTTCTTTCTTCATAGCGGAATAATTGCTCGAAAAAAAATATTGACATTTTTTCTTTGTTGTTGTTTTTTATTTTTTGAAAAAAAGAAAAATGTGGTCGTTGTTTTGTGTTATCTGATGATGGGAATTCTGGCTAGGTGGTGGTTAGACAGTAAGTTAGTTGGTTAGTTGTTGTTTTCCTGTTAAAGGCCGTGATGGAATTATTCATTTATTCCATTTTTTCTTTTTTTTTTTTTTCTCCTCCATTAGTGTATTCTATCGAGTTTTTATGGTTTTTAATTCAAGTGATTTTTTTTTTCGATATTTTTATGCCCACTGTTTTTTTTTTTTTATTCTTTCATGCTGCTTTATTTGTTTAGTTTTCCCTTTCTTGGTGCTGCTGCCACTGCCTCTGCTGTCGTTGTTATTGAATAACAGGAATCAGTTGCTACAAGATAGATGCAAATTCTTATGGGAAAGGGAAGGGGTGGAGAGTATCAGGGGACTTCTTATGGAATTTTAATTCTGTTTTTTCTTTGGTTAACGAAAAATTTTTTACTCATTTAACAGTTTGAGTTATTTTATTTCGTAGCTTTTTTTAATTTTATTTTTTTGATTTTTCACTGCTGCATAGGCTCTTTCTTTCTCATTCTGACACAGTCATCTGGTATGTAAATATGTACATTTTGTTCATCGTTGGCATTATTGGTGAGTTTTTTTTTTAGCCTGTTAAAAGGTAGTATTTGTTGTTCAGGATTAAAGCAAAGTAACCAATCGTTTTTGCAATGATCTTTATGTTTTTCTCTCTCTCATTCGCTTTCAACAGACAAATTTTGGATTCCATAATCATCCTCGGTATCTCGGTTTTCATTTCTAAAGAAAATGGCAAAGTTTGTGTTCGTATCTTTTTTTTCCGCCAATAGTTTGAACGAAAGTCTAAATAGATTTTGCACTGTTATTCTTAGGCCGTATATTGTTTTCCTGGTGTAGTAGGTCTTGAAAATATACTGTCGAGTAAAGTCATGTAACGATTGTTGGTTACCCTGTAGAGTTCATTTTCTCGAGATATGCTGAATTATCATTTATTACATTAAGTCGTTTTTGTGGTTCTTTCCATCTGTATTGACATTGTAACCGGTGTAGGGTTTAGTAGTGCCGTTATCTACTAATGCCGGTGTGTGACTAATATCGTTCGGTTGTAAAACAGCTTTTTGAAATACCTGGATACGTTTTTTTTATCACTCGAAAAATCTAGTGAATTTTTTTTCAGATCCCAGTCGCTTTGATGAAGTATGAACGGTGATGCAATGGACAGAAAACCTCCTTCTGGTCATTTTTATATTCATCCAAACACTTCATATGACGCTGTTGAACTAACTCCCAAGGTATTTTGTAACCAATGCTTCGTTTTTTTGTCCTGCAGGAGTGTTCGTATAGAGTTTTCGCAGCTCATAAACTTCAAAATAAACTCGGGTTTTACGTTTCAAGTACCAAGTTATGGCAAATCAACAATTATCCGTTGTTGCCGCAGTGCAGAAGGCTCAGCAGCAGCAGCAGCAGCAACAGCAACAGCAGCAGCAAGCAGTGCCAACAATAGCGAATGTTGTATCGCCGGGAAATATAAGTGTTATTGATATCCCAGGTACATTTAAAGTTATACATTTTATTTTCATTAGCAGGTAGTTTTGGAATAAGTTTGCTATTTTTATACTCGTTGACATTTTTTGAAGGTGTTCAGTTATTCTTTAGTTAAGTAAGGATCTTCAAGTTGTGTTTTTCAATACTAATTGGAGTTTAGACTCCTCATTTGCAGCTTTAACAGAACTGGCGCATAGGGAGTATCAAGCCGGGGACTACGCGAGTGCTGAGCAGCATTGTAACACCATTTGGCAGCTTGAACCTCGCAATATTGGAATTCTTCTTCTTTTATCTTCTATTCATTATCAGTTAAAAAATTTTGATAAGTTAGTTGTTATCTGTGAATCGTCTTTCGTGCAAGATTTCCTGTTCATGTTTTTTTTTTTTT